AAATTACGTAATAACAATTCGTATAATTTCTAACGTCATATGGCTGCTCAGGAGAGCAGTTTAACATTAAAAGATCACTTATAACACTTCAGACTTTTTTTGAGAAAATTTTATATTCACGTAAAACAAAAAGAACACATACTGATCATTGTCGATCCATTTCTCAAGTCTAACACCGGTCGATGCATGACATATGCGCGCAAAAAATCGGCAATGACTTCACACATCAATGCCACATCCGTTTTATCTCATGTCATGTACACCATCTCGCTAATTAAGACTTAATGTATCGTAAGTAGAAACTAACACGGCCGCCATATAAATCTCACCGCCCTTGTACTGTACAAACCTCTCTTCTCTCGGGCTAAGTTTATAATAATAATTAATTATTATTACGCACATTACGTATATCTCTAATTTGTCGGACGTATCGGCGCCGCCATCGTCGCAGTACTTGCTGCTGCCGCGTGTCACTTAATAATTAACTGTCTCTATAATTATAACATCAAAACATAACTAAGCAATAATAATAATGACAATAACTCATATAATTACTATTATTACCACATAAAGATAATAATATTGTATATAAAGACGTGCTATTATGCACGACCGTTCTGTAGATTCGGAAAACTATACAGAATGGACCTGACGCGCAAATCTTTAAAACAAAGTAATAATAATGATGATAATGAAATAATAATTATTATAATAATAGTTCGTAATTAGAGTTATATTTCTATAAAGCTTTTTTCTCTACAAATAGATACATCCGATTCTCGGGGCTAACCGCGTCACCGTACACATGCGTACCTCTCATTTTTCGATTCCACGCGATATTATTTCTTCATTTCCGTATACAATGAGCCGGAGTAGCTTTTAGGCGCGATCATATTTTTTTTTTCTTGTTTCTTTTTGATAATTCGACGAAACAACCGAAAGACTCATAGGCTACGGCCACGAAACATACAATAATTACGTTTTGTGTATTATTAAACACGATAACGGATTACATAGAGAGTAGAACCAATATACAATTAGATTGTGTCGTTCCAATAATATTTTTTTTTATATCTATAGGCTGCCGAGCACAAGCACGAAATATAGTACGTGTGTGTTTAAATACTTATTTTTGCAGTTCACTTAAAAAAAAAATGTAACATAATGTACAAGTAATCTACCGCAATTTTTTATATTTTCTTTTTATTGACAACAACACGGAAATTGCGCACATGTCGAAAGGTATATTGCGGCTAAAATATTTTATGTAAACGAGAACACAAACTGTCACAAAGATATTTGAATATAAATAGTTATATAACAATTATATAACTATTAATATTTCTATTATTTGATGATGGAATAAAATATTCTATATATTTATATTCTATAAATGTTACACGTGTCAAGATTATATTTTGAAGAAGTGCACCGCGTATATTGCAGTAAAAAAAAAAAACCTACTCATGCAAGAAACCTTATTACAAGATAAGAAATCATGTATTGTGAAACATTATCTTACTAATTGTCTAATTAAAAATTAAAAAAAAGTTTCAGTGTGTAATTATTTTCAAGATATAATAACACGTTTATAATTTCTGTAAAGCTGTAAATATACGCGACTATATCTCTGCTAGTGCTCTCTCATTTTCTTATTGAACTCTAAACCTCTGCAAAATTGTTTATTCTTACACACGTATATATCATGTTCTACGTCATTTCTTTTTTGCACATTACATATTAAAACATTATTACGATTACGGTATGTAAGGTAGGTACTTCGCTATGTGAGGAGATATTTAACGTGAGTACATCGTGTACGAACTCACATGCAGCTTAATTATTATATTACGTATGGGAATAATATTTATAATATTACTTTTTTAGTTTAGGTTATTAGTGGTAAAAGTACTAATACAAATACAATTTTTCTTCTTTTATTTAGATGTGTTTTTTTTTGTTTTGATTACGGACGTCTATTTGGAGTTTGCTTGCCGCGTTATGCTTCATTCATTCAGTTTAATTAACAAGGTTTCTTTTTTTATCCCAATTTTTTTACGTACTCGTTTAAACGTACCCTAAAATCTTATCGCACCAGCAAACCTTGTGCTTCAATGTACACAACAGATTCTTTTTTTCTTTTACTCACATATATAATATATATATATATATATATACTTGTTATTTTTAATAATATATATTATATGGTATATTTTGTGTACAATATGATTTTTTACGTCATTATAGTATTACTAGGCGATCTATGCAATAGATCTTGACGTTGTAATTTTTAAAAACTTTTTGTTCTGCTTTATTACATGTGCAAGTTCCACTTCACAGTGATATATCTTTTTTTAAGTGTTATATAAAATAATAATAAAATTTCAACAACCAACAAACATATTATTTAATAGTTCTTTCTTTCTTTTGTATAATAATAAAAAATTGATGAAAAACTAAACACAATAAACCAACAATGTAATCATCTTGTCTGGTTTTATCAGACAAGTCAAAAATAGTGTCACGTGCTGCGAATAGCTTGAGCGAAACAACATCGATTCTGGCACAGAGTCAAAACCTATGCATTGATCGCACTAACATGAGGAGAAAAAAAAATAATATTAGGTAATAATTTATATATCACGGTTATCTCTTTCGTGTTTACTTTTTCCTTTTTTTTTTTTAATCTAAGTAAGTAATACCAACAACGGGCTCTATATCTATGGAAAGGTCTACCCTGACACCAAATTACGTATTTAATGTACTAAGAGTGAGATACTCGTTCGGTGATGTGACTTTTATTTCACGTACATGTGTACGTTCATACGTCCATGTATATTTTATATTATCTCACGTTTTTTGTGTTTGTTTTTTTTTTTCTGGATAGTTTTATTCGTGATAGTAACGTATGTATACAAATATCAATATATCGTATCATATGATTTTTTCAAAAAAAAAAAAAAATTAAAGATAAAACTGATTTGCTATTGCGCAAATTATAACTCAAATAATCGAACGTAAAATATTATTGTACATTAGTCTTTCTGTTGATAAAAAGTGCATTCTTTTGTAATGACAATTTCAAATACGCTGTGTACTGAACATTGTATCTGTCTGCTTTTAACGTATGTATTTTTAACACGGCAGGATAAACAAGATGATTATTTTTCTCATCGGTATCTCAAAATTCGGTAGCCAAACATTCGGCATGGAAATGCTGTTACCATTCATAGCACGTCTCTAGAAACGACATTCAGAAATATTCATTCGCGAAATCCAACGTTTCTGTATTCACGGCACGTTATTTTGTGGTTTAGTGCGAAAATGTCATTTTTCTTCGCTTCGGAACATTTGCATTCCTTAAAATTGTTTCGATATAATTTACGGAATCAACAATATGTTTTATTGCTCACGATAGGACACTACGGTTCACGCGCACCAGTGTAAAAAAATAAATATCCTAAGTTTTTTTTGTGTCCGCGCGATCTAAAATAATTTACTATATTCATTATATTCACAAAAAGTTCTTTGTGAATTGTCTGAATTGACGTATAGAAATGGCTGAAAAATATAAACAGCATAATTTTTCTGTTTCTGTGAATATATTTGTGTTGCGCATGCCAAGTTTTGCAGGAAGAAGGAAACAATTTGTGTAATTCTGTAAAAAAAATTTTTTAAATTCTGTTTAAATTTAAATTTTTTTAAATAAAAAAAAAACAATTAAAAACATTTTTTTCCACCTTATTCTTTATTACTTATTGTTTTTGATTTTAAAATAAAAAAAAAACTAAAACATATAATTATCTTATATAAAATGTACATAAAAATAAAACTAACTCGTGAATAAGTATATACATATACATATACAGTTTACAATTTGAACATTTATACATTAAAACTATATCGAGTAGTTAGTCCGTGTAAAGAATAATAAGAAGTTAATAAAAATCCTATTAAAAAAAAGTAAGATGACAAAATTGAAGGAAGTGAGAAAATGATAACGACAAAGCTACGTTCTCGAGAGATTGCATTACTGAGCTTTTCCCGGTTGTCACGCTGCAACAAGAAGAATTCAGCTAACCTTCAATAAAAACTTAAAGTTAGTAATAAATTAAAGCTTAGCTAAATTCCTAACACTTTCGTGGCCGCTAACGTAATGCTACGTCTTTTCGTAAAGTTTATACTTTCGCGCTGACAGTAGTATTACGTCCTTTATGAGGTTTTATCCGATATCATTACTTAAATGGTAGTTTGGGTTAGATTACAAAATCGTAATTTCGCTACATCTATTTGATATCAAATATTACATCGACTGAGCAGACCTGCTGTGTATTTTTATGAACAGCGAATGTGCTAAATTGCGTTTTATCGCATTCGCACACGCTTTCATACGAAATATTACAGTCAAAAATACCAAAACCGTTTTTCCGGTGCGGTAATTGCTCCAAACTTGCCGGCCGCGAAAGTGTTGACTCGTTTGTTGATATATATATATATTTTTTTTTTTTCGTCGTCTGAAACTAGATGCGGATTTTCGCTCGGTTGTGCTGCTTGCGGTTTAATTACTTCCTTCGTCGAGCCTCAGTCAATTGATCGCAATGTGTGTGTGAGAGAGTGTGTGTCGTCGTTGATGATCCGGTTGGCCATATTTATATCATTGATCTTTCTCAGTTTTCCTTCAGAAGTTAACCTCATTTTAACCCTCCTCGACGTAATTATTGGTTCTTCATGGCAGTATCGCGCCAATACGTGTGTGTTCATCGCTTTGATAATCGCGATGGCTCATTGTGTAGCACCCGATTAATAATATACATTTTATACGTTCTAGGAATCAGTCACAGGCTAAAGCCCCGTGCAAAGCTTTTTTTTCTTCACTAGCTCCACGGAGGCCGGCCAAGTAAGTACGTAGTAGTTAGGGGAGGG